CACACACACACACACACACACACACACACACACACACACACACACACACACACACACACTGAGTTGAACAATGACAGTGCACTCCTGTGAACCCCAGAGAGACGAACTGACGCCAGATCTCATAAACCTCCTTCACCCGCCATCGAGCTCTGGAGTAATGTAGCTTGTAATTGAGAGATCATGATACAATATTGTCTCAGACACGACACTCGTCTTTTCTTGTCTTTAATCTTTTATCTTTGGTGCTTTTTATATTCCCGTGGTTTGCCAGGTTGACGGACATGTAGAAGTTAGATTTAACTGTGTGGGTTTTTTGGGAATGTGTTGTACTTTAGATACTCCCCATGTGGAATCACTACTAACTCTGTTGTTTACTTTATTTATTCAGTTTTTGTCTCCTGCAAATAAACAGCCTCCTTTTAGAGCAGAAGTAAAGACGGACCACATGGGACAGCGACAAGGGACGTAAAAGAGACGGAGAAGATACAGAAAAACTAATATAGATTGAAGTGAGAACAATTTAAAAAGCCCCAAAGTCTTGACCCTGAAACATCCACAAGTCCAGAGTCTCCTCCCTGAGGTCAGAGGTCACTGTCACTCTTACATGCAGGAGGCTCAGAGTTTATTATTCCCTGTGTGTCCACAGCACAATTTTAAAATCAACTGTTGTCAGATGGGATTATGTTTGATTGTTGTCTTTATTTTTATTATCTGTTATTTTCATTTGCTGGAAAAAAGGTGAACTGAGCCTCGTTAGACATCACACTCTTTTTAGGCCGAGGTCATTATTCACCGGTGTAATTACCCACTCGCTATAAAACCGATAAAGACGAATTAGCTTTAAAACTGGGACCAACGCACACCAGGTATAAAAGAGTAAGAGACGTAAAGGTCTGATGACGGAGCTGCACGTCACCCACACACAGCATCATATCGCCTCAGTGTTGTGACAGCAGCCGACATCCTCGCTCTGAGAGACACTTAATCTCACGGCTGCAAGAGAGAGTCACCTGCTTCCATCATCGTCACGGGAACACACACAAACACACACACACACACACACACACGCATTGAAGGTCACCTGAAATTCACTCGGGCTCCAGCGTTAGGAACACACACTGTCACAGTAACTCCCGTCTCAGGATCCCTGTGTTGAGTTGTGAATAATTCATCTTTATTTTTTAAAATTACTGTGGAGTCAATAATTCATGGAGTTATGTAAGAAAAGCAAATCCTTCTTTTGCTGTGGTATTTTACTTTCTCTCTCCTTCACAGGTTTTTATATGTTATCATGGAATATCTGCAAGAAGCAGCGAAACGCCTCCTTCAAAATAAAAGCATGCAACTGCAAGCTTGGGTGTCTGTCCCACAAATACGGCAAAAAAAGAAAAGTCTTTGTGTGGATCAGGTATTTCTCATGTTGGACCTACATCTGCACACTCACGTTATGGGTCTTGGGGACAAAAACCAAGATGTTAGGCCTCAGTTATGACAGTAAAATACGTACTTGGCTCTAAATGGAGTTTAAACCAGCTTCTACTAGAAAATAGAAGAGTTGGCTAAAGCCAGTAAAGTCTGTTTGTTTGTTCGGAGCCAGACACGGAGAATTACGAGCCCCATTAAACTGGATGTCCAGGTTTTCACAAAAATTCCGACATTAAATTTAAAAACAGTGAGATGCACAGAGGTTATCTGGGGCCAGAATATGAGTTTTCTCAGAAAGACTTCTGCAGCCTGGCAGCTGGATATTGCCCTCTCTCTCCTCTGAGTCACCTCAGACTGTTTCTCTAACATTATAAAGATGATGAATTAATGAGCATCAATATGAAATATTGAAAGTCTGGTGGCGAGCAGAGCTGCAGCCTGTGTGGCAGCAGTGAAGGTCTCATTGTCCCTGGGTCAGAGTGATTCTAATTCATGTTACTCCAGCTGCTCCATGTATTGTCCTGAATACACATGTCCAATGCTTTTACTCCACACCAGCATTTTGTTTCCTGAACCTCTGGACGCCTGAGGTTCATTTTCTCTCCTCCAGAAAAGTGAATTTTCTCATCTCATCTGCGTTTCAGGGGTTTTATTCTAAAATGAGGCTTCGATCGACTGAAAAATAGCTGCTCTCGCTCGGTGATGACTGGTATTAAGGTTCAATTCCCTTCAGAGTGTTTCTGAAGTCACGGACTGTCTGGAGCTTTGCAGCAAATTACATTAACTACTTTATATTTCATGCTTTAAAAACAGGGTGAAATATCACGACTGAGCTGAGTCTCACATGCGATTGGTCGAGCTTGTGTATCTTGTACATTCCACGATCGCTCCTACGCAGACTCAATACAAAAAGTTTGATATACCTATAGTATATATATTAAATATACATCCAAACTAATATCGAGCTTGTCTTTATTTCAATTAAGCCTAATTGCAGTAACACAGAAGGTTTTAGCATCAAGTGGACGACAGTTTGTGAGGTAGACATAATGCTCCACTCATGTGCATGGACAGAGTTAATCTACCCATCATGCCACACTCTCTGCAGGTTCATGATCACCTCTCGTCTCGCTGCATTGTACCATTAAGTGGAATGACACGAGAGTGTCACAGGGACACTTATTGCCACCAGAGCATGGGATTGACCCTTTAGAAACACACACACCCATTTCCTTAATGGACACATGCATGTGCCTCTGTCCTCCAGAGCCAGAGGTTGCAGTCGACCTTGTCTCCCACTGACTGACGTGTCCCCTCAGGTGTTCTGCTGCGGCACGTCACGCACAGTGTTGAAACTGTCACGATTTACCACTTCATTCCGTCAAGGAAAGACCTGAAGGGCAGGAGGCAGCTGTTGCTTCTGTGTGGCAGCTGGAAGATGACGTCTCGTGTGATACCAAGGATCAAACATGTTGTGATTGGTTTTCTGCTTATTCTTTGCACTTTCCACAAGAGTACAGAACGAGAGTTCTGTCTTTGCAGCGTCTCTTTGGGTGAAGTATCCGTGATGAATTCTTTCCAGTCCAGCAATCCATCCCTCTGACAAAGATAATCACAAATGCATTGAGGCAAAGGACACCCCCCCTTCTCTCAGCACTGCACCTCCTCCTCCTCCTCGGCTGTGATCTGGAAGCTGTCGGCCTTTTTTTTGTCCCTGCTCAGCTCTTTTGGAGTTTTCTCGTGAGTCTCCTCGCACCCACACCGTCAAACCCAATCACCCTTCCTTGCTAAGGGTGACTCACTGTGACGCCCATCAGAAGGGAGGTCTTCGCAGTGATTAGGACACTGCAGGCCGCAGCACTGCCACTAATTCACTCACTGAGAGGTGTCCTGTAAATCCGACGCCTCACTGGTCCTGTTGTTGCTCTGGAGAGCCAGGCGGCCGATGGCAGCTCAAGGACCAGCTGATGGACTCATCTGGCTGCCCGGCTGTCTCCACACTCAGCAAAAATGTTGGGACTGTCTTCGTGGCTGGACTTTATACATGGATGGATTATCTGTCAGAGAAAAGCTCACTGTGGTGTGGTGACAGTGTCACAGAGCCTGCTAAGCTGTTATTCACTGTGGAGCGGTCACAGTGAAAGACAAAAGGATGTACGACCCCACAAGTTATCGTCTCATTTGATGCAGAGAGAAGCATGCATGCTATGTGCAAGATGAATTCACATTTACATAGATGTTTCGCTGACTCACTTACACAACAAACAAAAATGTGAGGTGACAGTGAATTTAGTTTGATGTCCTCAAAGCTTTAAATCCTTTATTTACACTAAAAGTCCAGAGCCACGCTAACAGGGGCCCAGCAGTGCTATGAGCTGAATGCTAAATACAGCAATGATGATACTGAGTTCACCATCTGAAGTTTATCTATGTAACTAATGCCAGAGGTGATGCTGATGTCATGAACTTAGCAGGAATTTAGTCATTAACCAGAGTTTTGAACATTACAGATTTAATGTGACCTAATGGTTGTTCTGGGTGCAAAGCACCAGAGTATCAATAAAGTTTTTACGAATCATCCTCTGAACACCATGGATACCTGAGGGCACCCGGTGATCCACAGGTTCCTGGTTTGATGCCCGGCTCATAGTTCCCATAACAAACCTCATTTAGATCAGCTCGTTACAGATTTTTATTTTAATCCGCATAAAATTGCACACGCTCCTAAATATCAGTTCATGTTCGTTGTTGTTGTTGTTTTCATCAAGATCCGTGAATGATTCTCTATCGTATCTCACAATGTTAAAGAAAGATCTGCCTTATATTTTCATGGGTTCTCACTTGACCCAAGTTCCGTCCGTACACCAGGCTTTGAGGAAATCTGTTGAGTAGATCTTATGTAATCCTGCTGACAAACAAACAAATGGACAGTGGTGAAAAACAGAGCCTCTTTGAACCAGAGGAATCAACCTCATGCTGGCAAGAGAGGAAAAATCAGGGGATCACCAAAGACGGGAGAATTCCTCCATGAATCCATCCACAGTTGTAGACTGGCCGACACTGCTGCTCTTCCTGGAGCTGCACCTCTCTCCTGGTTTTCAACCATATTTCAACAGCACCATCTCTTGGCTTACTTCTCTTCTGCACACTGACTTCCTGCAGGTCAGGGCCGACAGACCTTCTCATGCTGTCAGTCATCCACTTCAGGATAATGTGTACCTATGGTGACAGTGTGGGTCTTTATGTTTATGCTCTTACCTTGTGCAAAGAGACTGAACGACTGCATTTCCGTGGCTTCAGACTCCCTGTGTCGGTCACCTTTGTCTGTGGCGAGGCCTTGAACACTTTCTCGTTGGGCCAGGTTTGTGGCCCTCGCCCAAGTCACACCACAGGAAAGTCAACTATGCAGCAGCAGGAGAAGTGTCATCGCTGAGGTTTAACAAATAACACCCTTCGCTTGCGGAGAAAGCCGAGCGAGCACTTGGCTGGGAGCGTGCTCTTGGCTGAGGCAAGGGGAACACTGAGAGTGGAAGAAACGCTCCTGAAAGCAAAGTGACACCTGTCTCTTATTCAGCCGAGTCTCTCGGCTGAAAACGGACACAGAGAACTCGTTGTCATTGGTCATAAAAAGAAAAGGAGGAAAGAAAGTTGACATACACCAGGGTAATATGATAATATGATAAACTGGGTCCTTCCTGGAAACACAGCTCGTGTTAGATTTGATAAGATTATTCAGTTTTGTGCTTCATGATGTATAGATCCATTCTGTGGTGAATAGAGCAGTGTGCTGCTGCATGTAGCTGCCAAAACACCATGATTGCATCAGCTGATTTTCTCACTTTCTTGTGCAGTCCCTCTGGTGTTTTGTCTGAATATTGTGCTTTTTTGTTTCAGGTTTACTTTCGTTCAGGGTTTTTAACATACGACCATCATAATGTCAATGTCAGTTTTATTTATAAAGCACATTTAAAATAACTACTGAGCAAAGTGCTTCACAGGGTTACGGTTCAACAAGAAGACAGTAACACACAATGCATCAGAGTACAAGTCATTATAAATAAGAATAATTAAAATGAAAATACAATAAAGTAAAATATAAGATACAAGATATATAATAATCATAAGGTCAGCTGTCCAAAGGGAAACAGTTTTGACTGATCGTAATTAAAGCAGCAGAGGTGCAGGAATAAGGAATCACCACTGAATACACTTGAGCCTACATTTCCCACCATGCAACCTGAGAGCAGATATTCCTCCCTACCTGGTAAAAGCATAAATATTTTCTAACTCAACATCTCCAGCTCTACAAATCTCCTCCAGAGAAAACTACAGATTCAGTCGTACTGTATATAAAACAACTATAGCACATCAGCTGATTACTGTGTATCACAATACTAAATGAATACGTCAATATTAATTATATTATATATTATCACAATACTTTAATTATGGAAATCTGCATATTTGGAAAACGAGTATTCCTAATTATATTATATATTATATTCATACATATATGATACATGCTATAAGAAAATAAATAAATAAACTACTACTAATAATAATACTGGAAGGATATGTTGAAAGACAAATTAAATAATTACTACAAAAAGTCAAAAATCTAATTATAAAAATATTAAATTATAATAATAAACGAATGGCTGAACCGAGCTGTTCCATTACGTCACTGAGTTAAGGGGTCGTTGGATCCTTGTTATAAAATGATCTCACGCGGTCCTCGTCCCGGTGACAGTGTCAGACGGTCCCTAACCGAGCAGGCTGGGTAGTTGATGCTGGATCACCGAGCGGCAGCGGCTCCCTCAGTCCGTCGCTGCGGTCCCTCACAGCGGACACACGTCCACATCCTCCCCGGCGTCCTCGGCTGTTGCTGTGCGGCTCTGAGCTGGAGGCTGGACGGTTCGGCCGGAGCGGGCTACGGCGGTGCGGCCACCCGCGGACATGAGGACACCCGCCACGGCGGCTTCTTCCGAAAGGCGGACCTGGAACCTCGTCGATTTTCACCGAGCTAAAGGTGTTGATGCAGCGGCATGAAGCGGCGGCGGCGGCGGCGTCCACACAAGAGACCCCCGCCTCTTGTCACTTCACCACCACCAGCTAGCTAGCTAGCTAGCGTTAGCAGCCCAGCGCACTAGCTAGCGGGCTAACTACCACTGTAACGGGGCTGTAGGTTCCCCAGCGCAGGCTTCATCGCGGGGTAGCTCAAATGTCAGCGAGCCTTAACGCGTGTGTTGGAATATTTAAATATTTTTGTGAAACCGTGTTTCCTCCCGAGCGCCCCCCGGCTCTTCACTCACCGCCGCTCATATCGCTTTTTCTCCCCTGTTAGCCGTCGTTAGCCGGGTAAGTTAGCCGCTCGCTTCCTCCGCCAGCTAGCATCTTTGGGATCGGCTGAGGAGCTCACACAGACGGGCTCTGTCAGAGAACGAACTTGGTATTCAGCGAACAGACACCGAGGCGTCGTGGCTCCACGCGGAGCCGGCGGAAAACTACTGGATTAAAAACACCGAATCAACCGAGACACGTTTAAAACCAGTTATTGTAAGATTGTTGAGGAGCTGCTCGCTTTATGTCTCCATCCATCCTTCACATTAGCTCTTGGAGCAGCTGCACATTTGCTCCTTGCATTTGTACATAAGCAGCCACAGGGGTATAAAAAGCCCTCATCTTTTTTAAATAACAGCCACATGGGCAATTGGTGGAAGGAATCGAACACGGTACGTGCATGCACAGTGCTCATCTTGCATCCTCTGCCTCCTGCAGCTGGGGTTAGTAATGTATGCGGACGGACGGCAGGATGTTTTACATGTTGGCTGGAGTTAATCTGGACTTGGATCGTGTTATCTTGCCACAGGAATCAAACATAGAAAGCAGCTTGATTCTGCAGTGTTAGTGCTGCAAGAGATGCCAGCTGACAGGGAGCAGTTGTGTGATGATGGTCTCAGATGCTGCACAGCCCCGTGATACTTTAAGCCTCTGGAAAATATGTTTTGTCATCTTTCTCATGGCCAGAGGATTAAGTGTTTTGTGTGTGTTTGAGGGAGATTAATTCCCGGGGTATTTATTTATTTCTGGGAGGACATGTTGTTGGATTGTTTTTTCACTCCAGTATTTCAGCCCTCACTTGATAAGTGATGCACACGCCGCATGGATGTGAGGCTCGGTAGAAGCGTGCTCGGTGAGATGATGCTACTTGTGTTAAGGGGGCATGCTGCCAAGGTTGAGAGATAACAAAAGGAAAGAGTCTAAAGGGCACCAGCTCCTCTATCCTGACAGAATACTGTCTGTCTAAGTGGCTGTAGTTGGACTCCCTGGATGAAGCCTGGGGATGTCAGCCTGCCTTCGGCCACGTGTCTCATCAAAACCCTTTTGGTCCAGTAGGAACAGCAACCTCTGACCTTACAACACACGCACAAAATCTGTTGACCAAGATTTGGATCTCACAGTTGACATATGATTTTCTATTTTTGTGGAATTTCCTCCCCATGTGCAAAAGTTCCTCCAAAACAAGCCTCCCTCCCCCTGAGACACTTTTTTCCAAGGATGTCGTTACTACATCCTGGGCTTAGCCCCGCCAAAATAAATACAAACAGGCCAGAGCAGTTTTTTTTCCCTTTACAGCAGAATGATAATAGGAGCATCTCACGAGTGACGACGCTGCACTGTGGTGATAGGTCTGGCTCTGTGAGGCTAGCATGGAGGTTGGGTGGATGAAATGAATCTAGAAAAAGATCAGATTCATAGTGAAAGGTTTAGCACAGTAGTAGTAACCAGTAAACCTTGTAATAACTTCTAACTCCTTTTCTGTAATCTCCATTTTCCCAGAATCGTCATGACCCTTTTCCTGCTGACCAATCACTCCTTATCTGAGGGACCTGGGCCCTTTCTGATTTCTGGACTTATCAACGCAGAGATGAGATAATAAAGTCAACCAGCTGGTGCATGCTGCTACAACAACTCTTGCGGCACTTGTAAACCCACCCCACCCTGCCTCCAACCCCTCCCTGAGCAAAATTAATTCCAACTGTGGAAACATGACAACACCGGCTCTCCTGCCGCTGTCGGGCCGCAGGATACCCACTCTGTCACCGGGTGCCTCCTCCTTCCCGCACCACAGAGCTACGCTGAGGCTCTCTGAGAAGTTCATCCTCCTCCTCATTCTCAGTGCCTTCATCACCTTATGTTTCGGGGCCTTCTTCTTCCTCCCGGACAATTCCAAGCACAAGCGCTTCGACCTGGGCTTGGAGGATGTGCTCATCCCTCACATTGACTCGCCCAAAGAGGGGAAACATGCGTCTGGACAGGTGGTCATACATGGACAGGGAGGACATGACGAGCACAGACATAGGTAAGTCCGTACCTACGTCGATATTTTCCTGTTGTTTGATGGTATTTCATGTTTTTCTTCTCCTAAAGGGCTGAAAAATGACTTATGTGAAACATTAAACAAGATTCCTTTAGAATGAGGTGTATTTTTCAGCCTCTCTGTCCAGTCACATCACATACGGAGTCCACAAAGGCTGGTGTAGTGCCTGTCATCCCCTCAGCTGTCTGCTGTGACACCCGGGGGTGGAGTAGTTTGTGTAGGGATGTTCTGAGCGTACACGTCGGCAAACACGTTCCTTCCCTTCCCTCCTTCTCTTTTTCTCTTGCCCTTTGTGTCTTCACTGGGTGTAATAGTTTAAATCCATGCATAACAGAGGTTTCTTTATCACCTTAGCTCCTCTGCTGTTGTCTCGTCCCACAGGCAGACATGGTTGAACTTGATGAGCTAGAACACACTGGCTGTTTGCAAAGCTTTAGTAGCTGCTTAAACAGGCTTGCATATTACTGCTCGCTCTGAGCCAAGTACTGGTAAAAAATTTTGGCTGCCGCTTTTACATTTGACATTTGGTTTGTCCAGCCTCTGTGGCAGGTATCCAGCCACTATCGGCTCTTTTTGTTCCAAATATTATTCTGCACTGACCCCAGTTATTTTAAGGGACTTTCACCACATTGATGTTTAATTACGTACTGACTGCCAACAAATTAGTTATGGAATCAAGGTTATTTGTGTGAAAATGGTCAAATTATTCGACTGAAACTGTTGAACGTTATTATTTAGCAGTGAAATAATTGTGATTTGAATGTCAGGCACTGTGGGTTTTCAGAGCCTCTGGGCTTTTGAAGGATTCAAACTTCTAATCACATAATGTGATTAGAAGCAGCATTGGTTGAGTTGTGTTTTTTTTTTTTTCTTGACCAAAGACTGATGTCTCAAATTAAAATGCACAAAATGCCAAACAGTAGGTGGAAAGGATAATTTTAGAGGCAGGGTCTCCTCCGTGCTGATGAAGAAGGTCATTGGTTTTTACAGAGTGCTGGGCAAGGTGTTAAAAGCAATTTCTCAAACACTCTCACAGTGGGTACCATTAAGTGTTGCCTCCTCATCCCCCATGGTGCTGTTTCATTTTTCCATCATGTAAGCTCTCTAGAGCTTGGGATGCCGCCTGCTTGGAAAAATGTAATTATTATTGTCCAGCAAAACGTGACTGGGAAACATTTTTCGACCCCTTTTTCTCCTCTTTTATTTTTCATCCAATCCCAGTCAGTCAGTGTCGATGCACATTTATATTGTCCGTGATTAATGCGTCTGTATTTGTTTGAATGATTTATCAGTAGGTTTTGGCCCACAGGAGAACCTCAGGGTACAGCAACAGAATCCAGACAGTGTTTGTTTCCTTGTAATGAACTGAATCATCTCTAACAGACGGAATCTGACTCATTTTATTGTCACTTTTCAGATCTGTGATCCTCTTTGTATATATTTAAAGGGAAATTGCAGCCAAAGCTCACATCCTTGGGAAGTATTATGGTTATTTTGAAATTCAGCATTCAGAATTAAAAAAGTATAGTGATCTATTTATTAGCGTTTTTAAGAGTGTAACGAGACACATTGATTGTAATGGACTAAAGGGGCTTAAGATCTCTTTAAATATGTTTCATGCTTATGTAAATCATCAAAAATGCTCCATGTGGGTTCCACCTCACGTAATCATTTATGTGACATTATGATTTTTACTTTTCTTTATCGACTCACAGCAGCTTATGGAAATATGTTCCTGTCTGGTATGGCTGCCTCAGCTGATCTTAAAATCATCATTGTGCACTCCAGAGGACGACGGTTCAAACAGCCTGTGGAAAATGAGGCGTGCTAGCATTTAAAGAGACCCTCAGGAGCATAAGGCAGAAGCGTAATAATAATAATTTCACCTTTACTTTATTTGGCCACAGAAACAGCTCTGTGCTCACGCTGTTAATAGTCTTATAAAAGCCTCGGAGAGAGCAAAGGTTACTATTCTGTTTGCCGTGGGGAAATCCAGTTGGAGATGTTGACTGTAATTCAAAAGGCCTAAAATATGGGTAAAGGTTTCGCAGTTTGTACTGAATTATATTCCCAGTTTGCAGCTGGCAGTGTTTTTGTTGTGCCACCAAATCGTTTTGGGGAACACTGAGGAAAAATTATGTCACCAGAATGTGATGACTCACTTAGATGGTAATACTACCAATCATTTCCTAATGTATTAAAAGATTTCATTTGTAGACATACTACTATACTGATTCTAAAACGATTTCTGCTTAAGCTTGAATGGACATTAACTATTTTCCTGCTTTAATTACAAGAGCTGTGACTCCTGAACACAAATGTCTAGTTTTTGATGGACAGCACAACCTTTAAACAAAAGATTAGGGTCGGCTCAGAAGAACAAATATTTCTAATGTCATCCAGCCATGCAGATAGTTTCAGTTTCTTTTAGAAGGTTTTAAGATGTCCACCGCTGAGAGTGCCAATCCAACACAATGAAGGTTTATGTGCGTTGGGAAAAAAAAGTCCTGGATAATCCTCAGACCTTCGTGCCAGCCATCCTTATTGAAATCAATTTTCTACTCAAGTATTACTGCCAACTGAGAATTTCTGCTCTCAAGGCGGTCTGTTAGAGTGAGGAAAGTGATCTCTCCATGTAGAGATTATTACTCCGGACAAGTCTCATATCGTGTTGGGGTGACAACAGCCATCTTGGCAACAGTATTCTCCACATCTCAGAAATACGTCGAGGGATGAATGTACAAAAAGTTTGACCAGATTGTGATACGACAACACTGAAGTCAGTCTCAGGGGTCGATCATGACATTTGACCCTGAAAAACGTTATGTAATGCAGACTTTTTAGATTCGTCCATGTCCCATCTCCTCACATGGAGGAGGTGGGGTTTATGACCTGCATTGCAGCCAGCCACCAGCCGGCGATAAGGAGGAGATGATTTAGCTTCACGTTACTGGAGCAGTCATGTCGTCCATCTGTAAACTCTAAACAGTTCATGCTTTTAACTGGTTGCTTAATGGCCACTGGAGATTCGTGCGTTGGATTACTGCAAACTTCAGTGGTCTGCGTTTCTACTGTGTGTGTAGTAAATGTGTATAGAGAGACTCATACGTTGGCTTCATATAATCCTTTGACAGATGAATTGAGAGGAGAAACCTTTGGATTGCTGTTTGGGGTCCAACAAATCGCTCAGGTGTAATACTCTGTCAATCCCAACGCACTGAGGCCGTCACTGATCCCACTTTGGTCGTTTTGGTTTTGCTCAAATCACGGGAGCAGCCAGGAGCAGTGCACTTCATCTGAGAGGGGGGCAAGTGGATGTGTTAACCGAGGCAGCGACATTTCAGCTGCAGAATTGCTGTTGGGAGGATACGGCGACAATGTGGAGGCCGGGAAAAAATGTCTTATTATGTGGTCTGACGTGGACATCGTGCATGTTTTGTAGTAATGGGTGTGGACTGAATACTGCAGAGGTAGCAGAGCAAAGCCGAAATACGAAATAAGAAAAGCCTGCTGTGTGTAGTAGTATGATATCGTTGCGGACCCTCCAGGATGTGGCAGAATTTCTTTGGGATTATTGTGAGTTGTGACCTGAAATATCTGATTTCACAGCAGCTTTTCTAAATAACTGTGATGCATGTTGCGACGCTTCGAGGCATTTCTTTTTCTCAAAGCTTCCACATCATCAAACATCTGATTTATTTTATACTTTATATACTTAACCCTCACTTTGCTTACTTTGTTGTCATTTATTGGAATATCTTCAAATGCTTCATATTTCTCTGTTCAACCTAAAACATACATATCTGTGGTGTTCCCTTAATAAAGAACCCTGCATATCTAATCCACCGCACCTTGATTCTTCCGGCTCTGCCAGTAGATCCGCTCTAACAACCTCTGTCACGGTGGTTTTTTCTGGTATGTGGTTGCGTCTCAGCTGTTCTCAGGGTGTGTTTGAGGAATAAAAGTATTGGTCAGTTGACTTTTGTTGACCTTTGCGTGTGTGTGATTGCAGTTCACCATAAAAACTACAATCCCTTCCTTTCTTGCATATCATCACAGAATCGTTTATGTGACGTTGCATTGGCCCGGAGCTGAAATGATGGTGATAAGCACCAATAAACCACAGAGACATAAGCAGTTAACTGTTTCACTCATCTTTTCAAGCAAAAAGTTCAAACGTCAGACTCTTAATTGTGAGGACATTACTGAGTTTCTCTGTTTTTCAGTCATTTTGATCTGAAAATCTTTGTGTTTTGTTTCTGCTTGTTGACAAAGCTACTGGCAGATGTCGCCTTGTTCTGTGAGAAAGTCTGATAACGACATTTAATTGACTAAATGCTTGATTTGAAAAATGGGAATTGTTTCATTGTTAATGAAACTAAGCTGTAGTTGCAATCTACAGTTGCCACATTAGAAAATAAATGTATAATAATATCAAATCTTGTTTCTGTGGTGTTAGAGGGATCTCGATTTAGAAATGATATTGGTCTGTGTTATTCTGTCCGTGTTTGAACGTTCATGCTGGGTCCTCGTCAGTATCCAGTAGCTTCGACAGTCTCGCCATCTGCCACCGAAACCAACCAGTGTTTGGCTGTTTGCTTGTGTTTTTTCAGTGAACGTCCAGTCATTAGTTAGAGCGGTGTTCTCCTGAGGAAGATGCATATCTCTGTTTTGTTAGGACAGCGCTTTATCCCACATCATTTCTGTCGCCATCAAGAGGGAAATATGCAGTTGGGTTGTAATTAAAATTTTCTCCGCTGTGCAACTTCATTTGCAGATCAGGGATTTGGCACAGCACTAATATGCCAGTGTCAGGCTTCTGCATCATCTTCACACTGATGGAAAAAAACTGCCCCTTGCAGTTAAGGGATTGCTCAAGGCAATATCCTGTTTCCTGAATGAGGATTTTGCCCCATGTTCCAGTAAACAACCTTCCTACCAGGGGCATCGGCACACGTATGAATTGCTTATTTACTCCAACC